GATTTGTAATTATCTCACTTTCTTTTTTATTTGGTTCAATTTAGTTATTTGTTATTCGAACTATACAAAAATACCCGGAACAAAATAACAAACAAAATTTTCTAATAGTTCAAATAATAACATAAATCGGTTATTTTTTCAAAGGTTTCATTGTTTCAGCTTCTGGAGTTGTGAAGATGTTGCTCAAGAAATATCATGAAATAAAAGCAACGAAACATAAGCGTGGCTGATGAAAAATAATTAATTAACGTGGTTAGTTGTTCCACGTTTTGTTTTGTCTTCTCTAGTTTACACAAAAGCATGAGAGCTTAATCGCAAAAGTAAAACCAAATATTAATGTATCTGAGTTTTGACTTGCTTGTTTTTGCACTCAAAAGTTTGAAACTTCACGTATGGAATAGGGATCATTGTCTTGTTATTATAAGTTTAACTTTACTCATGAAATAGGAATTAAATCTCGCAGTGACAGAAAATCTTGTTTGATATACTCTCCATAGAAAGTTTGTGTGTATGTATCAAATATATATGGGACATGTTCTTGAAAGGAAGAAGAAGCAACAGAGCAAACACAGTTCCTGAGAAGAGACTGCAATTTCTATATGCATCCTAGTGAGTGACAGGTTACTTCTTTCAAACTTATTGGTAAAATCTAAGACCTCTTTCTATGATTTGAGGATCAGAATCTGCTGCTTCTGGTAGATTGATTCATCGATGTCACCAAAGAAGGTAAGGTTTCAAAGAGTCTGTCTTCTTTGAGCGAAGGAGGTTTTGGAGAAAAGGAGATGAAAATTGAAAAGTGGGTTTTCTTTGGAAACTATGATACCTATCTTAGAGCATCCTTATAAAACTCGACAAAGTGTGAAAAGATCTAAAAATCAAAGCGTGTTGTGGTCAAACATAAAATCATTGTTCCTTTAGGATCGGATATCTCTTTTTCATCTAAAAACTACTCCTAGACACTAAAAATGTGGTTAATTAAAATTCAAAATCAATGCAAACTAATCCCTAGACACTATCGTATTTTTGTTGTTGCATCTTTGGAATCATTAAAGAAAATCGTTTAGTGATTAAAAAATTAGTCTCATACTTCAAAAAAGCAGTTTCCATCGTAATGTAACATTTGTAGCTATAATAACTCAATTCATGTCCCTAACTTCGATTATAAAAGCAGATGTTGATAAAAGAAATAAGTAAAATCAAGTAAAACACCCCACTTACTTGTGTCCAACATTTTGTAATCTTGAAGCAGTCTTGAACAAGTAGTAAACAAATAAAACCCTACTTAAACAGTATAAAAAATCAATTAAAAGACTTACATAAGCTTCACATCCTCCACATAGTTTGGAAAAGTGTGTACTATAGACCCTCTAAAACCTTCAAATGCTGGAACTTTAACTCTTACTTTTACCACAATGTTCTTCTCGAGATTGTAGTAGTAAATGTAGAAAGAACCTCTTGTTGCATATTTTGGAAGTAGACAAAACACAATTTCACCTATATCAGTCACTCCAGCAACGTATACGTGCTTTGAATTTATTCCCCGCCATTGCAGAGGTTTTTTCGTATACATGCTTTGACCATTTATGTTCCTTGGAATCCTCTAAAATCCACAACACAAAATCCTTATCGTCACTATAATCAACCGTGCCTAACTTATCCTTGTAGTTTATCATCTTAGTGAAAGGAGTTCGGGTAACAAAATCAAAATTTTCGGATCTAACATCAAAATAACGGATCTTACTCTTGTCTAAAGGTGATGTGTAGTACAAAACACCATTGATGCATATCCCATCATCACTAAGGTCATGAAAAGGTAAACAACATTCAATCTTTCTCCATAAGAGATTTCTACCTCCATTCTCTAATGTGATAAATTGATGCTCAAGAGACAAATCATTCCTTTTTCCACAAAGCACCCATGATATAGACAATACCTTAAACTGTTTTTCGATTGGATCATACCCTAAATAGCTTCTTGCCTGAATCACTTCATCTCTCATTTTGGGTAAGGCTAAATACTGTCTTGTGATGGGATTAGAAATCACAACCTCGATAAAATCATCTCCCGTAAGACGTTGATGACAGAACAATCCATGGACAGGACGAGAGATTTGATCAGAGGAACCTGAATCCGTATATGATGATGAGTGGCTACAATAGACGAGTTCTCATCCGGATCTTGAGGTTGAGGTGAAGTGTAGAATAACAAATTTTATTCAACTGAAAATGTGAAAAGTAACCTTGGTGGATCCGAAGATTTGGTCGGAACCAACTGTTCGTAGTTCGGGGACGAATAATCGAAGACCAAAGCTTCGATACGCAACGACATTTTCCCATACATTTCAACGACAATCTCGAGAAGATATAATTGACAATGACATCAATAGGGATCGGATCAAAGTATTGTATTTCTTCTCTCGATCTTGAACTTCGTTTTTTCTTTCTTCTTGATACGATTAGGGTTTTCGTCATGACTTGCTGCTTACGTTTCCTCATCGCTGCGGAAATCAAACCCTAAGTTTTGCTGATGCTTAAAGCACACTTAATAAATTGGGCTTTATTACGCCCAAGTTAAGTTGGGCCTTTGTTACGGCCCAATTAGATATTTTACTTTTATTTATTTTTTGGTCCTCGGTTTTATGATTTATTTAAGATAAAGACGCAAGTAGATATGAGTGGGAGGGAATCGATGCCGTGCCGACTCGCCGACTTTATTTTCATTTTTGTTCGCTTAAAATAATAAATAAAATTTATTATTAAAAACAGAAATCGATTTTGTAGC